CTTCTGTAGCTACATGGCATCTCTCTGACTCTACCTAATCTCTACCTATTTAACTCTGTTCAGATTTCCTTCTTGGCTTTACTCTCCCAAATCACTGGCCGAAAGAGCTTTATTCATTAACCAGTAAAAATAACACATATACAGAAGGACTTCCCACATCACAAATGGTACCGTGTCCCTCCCATAAAGTGCTAAGATTACAGGTATGCACTTGGCAGAAACTTTCATTTTATTTATTTCAAATATTGAAAGAGAGAGAGAGAATGAAAATGCATACCTGTCATCCCAAGCCAGGAGGATCAGAATTTCAAGGTCAATCTCAGTGACTTTGGGAGTTCAAGGCCAGTCAGAGAGGAAGAAATCCTGACTGTGGTGGCACATGCCTATTATTTCATCAGGAAGGCTGTTGAGGCAGGGGGATCTCAAGTTTGAGGCCAGTCTATGCTGTATTTAAGAAAAAAAAACCTGCGCACGATACATTGACATGTGTTTATGAAAATGTCATAATGAGACACATTACTTTGCATGCTAAATAAATTAATGAAATTAATTATTCGTTGAATGAAAAGAGAGACAAACAAATTACTAATATTAATACCTAAAACAGGACCAGAGCTCTGCCTGCCAAGAATTAAAGGGCACAGGCTTATCTCTGACTCATAGGGAACACACTTTCATGCCTAACACTGAGAAAATAACAAATTAACCCTCTTTTATTTTTGTTCCAAAGAAAAGGAGGCCTGCTTCCAAACCTGGTTAGCCAGCTAGGCTATGGATACTGATCTGACTGTGAGTCCCCCCGATGAATATAAATACAAAAGCTGGAAAAAATTTAAAGTATAGACTGATGATGGTATACATAAATTATTCATATATCAAATATATATATATGTTGATTCGAGAGTTCCAAAAAAAAAAAAAAAAGAAGTTTAACCAATAGGAATGCATGATCAGGGGCATTTAAAGGGACCAGTCCCTGCAGTGTGGCCTCTGCAGTGTTATCATTGGTAGGTGCAGGTCAGGGGTGGGGGGAGCTGGGTTTTGTCTTGGAATCTGGGAAGAGTTAGCTGCTCCAAGATAGGAAAGAACCGGAGCAGAAGGCACAGCCTCCAGAGTCTTCCGGGCCAGGTGCGGCTCTCCTGAACTCAGGCAATCCTGAAGAGGAGCACTCCCACTGACAATGAGTCTCAGAACAGAGAAGAGCCTTCCTGCCAAGCAGAGACAGCCAGCACCACTTCAGCTAAGCTCTGGCACCTGCAGGACACTCCCTCCTCACTGCCACCGAGGGAGAAGAGAAGAGTTGTTGTGACAGGTTGCTGATGGGGACACGCTGTTCCAAACAGAGCATCTGCTAGGCCATCAGCAAGGTCCCAAGGCCAGCATGCTTGGCCCAATCCCAAGACGTGATGCTTGGAGGAGTCCAAATCTGGGGGTCCCTGGAGGAGGAAGTCTGGAGAAGAAGGCACCTGTGGGTCTTCTTGTCTGACCCACTTACATCTGAAGCCTGGGGAGTGGGAGGTAGACATTCACACTCTGTACACAAAGGACAGTAGCCTGGAGGCCTAAGTTCGAATCCCAACTACACTTCTTTATGTGTGCAAATGAGTGTGCAAATAAACTCTTATGCTTAGATATGTGAGTGCACATGAGCATTGTATATGTGTGTGTGAAGGCTAGAGATAAGCCTTGGATGTCATTTCTCAGGCTTTTTATAAAACAAGGTCTCTCACTGGACTGAAGCTCATCACATAGGCTGGGTGGACTGGCCAGTGAGTTTCAGGAATCCTCTCCCCAGCACTGTGATGCCTCACCATGCTGGGTTTATCTTACCCAGATTCTAGGCATTGAACTCAGATCCTCTTGTTTGCACAGCAAGCAGTTTACCAAGTGATCTAGCTCCTTAGTTCCAAGATGCAACTGGGGACTTTGGACAGGTCGTGAATTTCTCCAGGTTTTAAGCAGACAAAAGAGTCCCTTGTGTGTTTATTGTCCATGACTGTTCGATACTAATAGCACGGGAATACAACTAGGAAAGAAGTTAGGACAGTACTTGATAAATTGCAAGGATGAGTGTTTGAGGTGAAGGGCTTCTTGTATCCCATAAACACCCCAAATCTGATGACTTAATAAAGGTGGCTAGAGCGGAGACCTGGTCTCCCAACCAAGCCTGTCCCCTTCTCAGTTCCCACCAACATGGCCCTTAGTTGGCTACAAGCCAGCCTGAGACCTGGGAGTGGCAGACACAGGGACTGCTGGCCAGCTTCTGCTAACTGAACCTCTCAAAGCTCCCTCATCAATCCATCATCCTCTTAGCAGCTGACACCTCTGGCAGAGCCTCCCAGCAGCCCCAGTATTAGAATTACAAGAAGCCCAGTTTTGAGGGGGAATACAGATGGAGGAATCTCGGCTTCAAATTTGTCGAAGTATTGTAAATAGTGGGACCAGGGAAAGGCATCTCCCTTGCCCTTCTGACAAAGGGGAAGGGGAGGGGGGTTTGTTAAAGTACAAATTGCTTCTTACTGCAGAGACTGAAGCTGGGCTGGGGCACCTCCTTAGCAATTCCTCCCAGCTCTCAGGAAAGCCACCGCTGCATGTCAATTTTAATTTTTGAAATTTAAACCGAGGGCTTTGTGTCTAAGCTCCATCTCATCAGAGGAAGGGGAGGAATAAGTCAAAAAGGATTAGGGGCCCGATGGGGATTGCAGATCCATAGCAATTAGACTTCATTTGGGTTGCAGACATTGGGTTTTAATCGCATTTCAGGATGATACAATCAGCAAGGCATCCGAAAGTGATACCCGTCCTGTAACCATAGACTGTTCCTGGGTACAGGTGGCCTCGGCTAGGTCTGGAATCCACCATCAGAGTGGGTAGCATGGCCTGTGGGGGGAAATTAGGGTTCTGTTGGTGTGTGGAACTGGGAAATGATAGTTTGATAGTATTTCTCTTTCCCCGACTCTCTTTGTACACTTTATTCTTGGACTCAATGCAGGCATAATCATTGCTTATATTCAACCGAATGACTAGAAAACATTATTCAAATAAAACGAGAGCACAGAGGAACGGTGGCAGCCACAGGATTCGAGGCAGGGGGTATAATTGTCTTGTAAAGGGAATGGCAGCCTTCATTGCCTTCCTGAACAATGCAATTTGAGGGTGGACTGCCACCAAGAACGTCTCACACACTGCATTGGCATGAATGCAGGCCAGTGTGCAGCATGCATTGAATGAGAACAATTATATCTACATTAGCGGTTTTCAAGTGTTCAGCTTTGCCCGATACACACACTCCAGGATTACCTATGTATAGACAGCGAGTGCGCGCGCACACACACTCATTTACATATCTCTTTAAACATCTGGGGCATGTGTGTGTGTGAGTGTGTGTGTGTGCCACAGTCAGAGGACAGTCTGTGAGAGTTGGTTCTTTCCTTCTGCCATGTGGGCTCTGGGCATTGAACTCAGATACTTTGGCTTGGTGGCAAGTGCCTTAAACCCACTGAGCCCACAAACATTGTCCCACAAAAAGATCTCCTTCCAAACAATCAAAATGGGCTCAGTACAGCAGGCAGTGTGATGGCGCACACCTATCATGCTAGCTCTCAGAAAGCTGAGACAGGAGGATGGTCAATCCCAGACCAGCCTGAGCTAAACGGTGAGAATCCATCTCAATTTTTTTTTCACTTAAAGTTGGAAAATTAAAAGAGCTCAGTAAGTGATAGCAGGCAGCTGCTGGCTGTTTTCGACATCGCTTTCTGTCTGTTGGAACCGGGTGGCAATAAAAAGAAAACAAACAGGAGAGAAAGAAAGAAATGCCCAAACCGTGTGGAATGTTTTCATGACTTAGGTGGACAGATATCGACAGGAAGAGAGCCAGAGCTAACAGTCCCCCAGCTGTTGAGTCACTTCTTTCAGAGAGAAATGACCCCCCAAAAGCACCTGCTCCTCCTGGAGGGGGTGACATCTCCCTTACACCATGTTCCTGTTAAACTCAGAGAGCTGAAAGACCCACAGAACAATCTCAGAGTACTGACTCTTCTGAGAGCAAGGACCTAGCTGGGATGTGAACAGAGACACCCCAAGTGTGCTGTTGGTCTTTCAGGGAGTGAGAACTTTCAGTCCAGGGATGCTTCTTTTTGTCCTTGTCTCTTAGAGGCCCAGAATTCACAGGGTTCCGCACTGGCAAGTGTCTCCTAACTGTCTTCCACTTCGCAGGGACCCTCCCTTCTGACCTCCTCTTCCAGGTCCAGGGAGAGCTAGTTCCCCAAACTGTACACCATCACCTCTCATCCTTGCACCCCCTCAACTCAGGGTTGCATTGAAAATGGCGAATGCTGTTCTGATCCCCCCCCCCCCACACACACACACCTTTCAGCCAACCCCAGGTTGCAGGGGCAGTGCACTGCTGGAGACTGGGCATTGGCCAGGTTGTAAGGTCAGGGCGATTTCTGGAGTCCAGGTCACGGAGCTGTATTAACAAATAGAACAGGAGCCGGTAGTCTAAAAACATAATTTAATGCATGGCAGAGGAGGTCAGAGGAGAGTATGTGGCAGGTGACTATTCTGTTTGTTGGAATTCAGCTAAGGATGGGTTTTTGGCTGATGGACAGGAAAGTCTGCACAGGCATTTTGGGTCACAAAAAGGGAGGTCCCAGGGAGGTCACCTGGGTCTTATCTTCCTGGTGAGGCCTGCAGTCCTTGACTGAGGACACTGGGAGGGAGAGGTGAGCTGGGAAACCTCAGGCTCCCTAGGACTGCCTGTCGACCCAATCAGCTTTCCCAAGTCTGGGCTGCCCCACAACCAAGCCCCTCCAGAGCTGGGATTCTTCCCCAGCTCTCCACTTAAAAGTGTTTTTCTCCCTCCCCAGGATGGGCACTGGGACCAGGGACACAGCCTCCCCACAGCGTGGTGAATCAGACACACTGAGACCTGAGGCAGGGTAAATAGGACAGCAGGGATGTGTCTTTTCCAACGAAGATGTCAGGAAGTGTCATGAAGCCGCAGAGTGACATTCACCAAAGAGCCACGAGAACCCTGTGGGGATGGGGCGGCATGAAGCCACCCGGTCTCGCGCTCTCTGCACCCCTAATCCGGATACAGGAGAAAGCCCGAGAATGTGCTGTACTTGTTGTTGTTGCCCCCGTGAGCCTTCCCGCCATCCAACTTCACATAGACTTCATCGCCTGAATCCAGGTGCAATACCACACTGTTGCTGGCGTAGTCGTAATTCTGGTCGGCATCTTGGGCTATGGCGCTGGCACGCACCTGAGGAGCGAACCAAAGGAGTAGGTGGACCCTCGCACCTCTTCCCGACTAAACGCCTGGCCTCCCTCGCCCATCCCCTTGCAGACTCTCTGCCTGCTACTTCACCCCCTCCTCAGCTCCAAGTTCTCTGCAGTAGAGTCAAGGAAAAAGGAAAGGGCTTCCGAGACACTGACCCAGTGTGTAAAGTAGGTCCTAGGGGTTAAGGCCACGATGAGGAAACCTAGAGGGAAAAGGGTGACCCACGTGCAACCACAGAGCCATGGAGCGAAAGAAAACTGCGTTGTTTTAGGAGCCCTGCTACTTCAGACCAGGACTCAAGCTATGGGGGACCTAGGACCTAGTTTAGGTGTCAGGATCACTGCGTACCCGGGGTCCAACTTCAGGCGTGCGGCAGCGGCATTTGGGCAAGCATAAAGGAGTGCGCAGGAAAGCGGGATGGGATGCTGTGGTCCAGCGCCCACTCCATCCCAGAGTTTGCTGGGGCGCCAGAGGGTGAGTGGCAAGGGAAAAGATAGTTCCCGGGCGATTCGGGGTGCCTGTTACGGTCTGCAGAGTCTGTTGGACCCGGTAAAGTAGGGAGGGGTATGTGGGAGAAACTCACTGACCTGCCCGTTTTTGCAGAGATCCGCCCACATGCTGGTTCCGTCGCCGCCACGCATGAGGATGTGGTAAGTGAAGAAGTAGATGCCTCGTACCTGGCAGCTGAACTTGCCGGTGGTGGGGTCGTAGTGATTGCCAAGATTGGTGACCACGTCGTCGAACTTGAGCACCTCGTAGCCTTCATGGGGGCTCTTGAGTCCCACATAGAAGGCGATCTTGGGACCGGTGAAGGCTGCGCTCAGCGCACTGGTCACTTCGCCCTCCGTGTCGCCACCGCCCCCGGTTCCGCCACCCACCACTCCAACGCCACCAGCCGCGCTGGTTGTCAACTGCAGTCCTGGTAGCCCTGGCCTCCCCGAGTCTCCCTTCTCCCCTGGGGGACCCCTGGGCCCAGGCGGCCCCGGTTCTCCAGGGGGACCCCGAGGCCCCGGCTTGCCTGGTCTCCCTGGATCACCCTTTGGTCCCTGGATAAAGGGAGGCGGGGGGTTGGCGCTGAGGTCCTGCATAACTTCCAGGGCAGCGGTGCTGGGTCCTGGCGGTGGAGCCTTGGCTCCCGCGGGTCCCCCTGCGGGAGCGACGCTGTACGGGTCACAAATCATGCGGCAGGTGCCCAGCATCTCGTAGTGAGCAGCGCCGGGGGGAGCCGCCTGCAGCAGCAGGGGCACCGCGATCAGCAGCCCCAGTGCCATGGCTAGGAGCACGCCGACGGCCGCCAAGCAGGCGCGCCGCCGCCGCTGCCACAGCCGGGAGGCGACCGCCACCAGCTCCTCCTTGCCGCCCGGGGAGGTAATGGTGGAGCGGCGCGGGTGGCCCCGCTCTACGCGCTCGGACGCCAACTCCGCAGGTCCCCGCCGCGTCCCCGACGTGGAGACCCCTGTCCTGGCCACCCAACTATTTCAACGAGAGGTCTCCGGACCTGGGATCCGGTGGTCACGGCTCTGGAACTGATCTGGAGAGTCGAAGAGCCCCGACACGCATGGCGAGGGGCGCACAGGACGAGTCCGGCGCCCCGGAGGGTTCCAGGTAGAGGCGGCTGGGAAATGCTGGGTCCGGTGAGGCTTTCGCAGCGGCGCTGATTCCTGCTCTGCTGGGATTGGCGAGGCTTGGCAGGGTTCAGCGGGACTCTGGAACAGCTCTACCGCACGCTCTTCTCCGCTCTCCCGCTGCTCGCTGGCTCCCGGGTGGAGGGGGGACCCAGCTACCCTGACGTAAGGAGATCAGGACGGAGCGGCGGAGGCGGCAAGGCAGCGGCGTGCGCTGCCATCACTCGGGAGACGGCGCCCTCCTGTCATCAGTTCCTATCCCGCGGCGTCCTCCAGAGATATGCCTGCTGGCGGCGCCCAGGAGCCACAAGTGGGAGCAGCGGGCCGCAGCCCCCCGCTGGGGCGCCACAGACACACCCACCCTCGGACACACGCACCTCCCACAGACCACCTCGCACTAGCACCCACGCGCGCAGCCAGTGGGTGCACACAGCACCGCACACACATGGCCACAATGGTGTTCAGAAACGTGGTACCCGCCTACAAGGTTCTGGTGGGGTTACCAAATCCATCCTCTTGTCTGTATGGGTCCAGACCTCAACCCAAGTCCAGGACAGCCTCAGCCTCCAACTCTGCGGGAAGGACCGACCCTCTAGAAGCCTCGGAAGTGACCAGAACTAAACCAGTATTGCTCCTGGGTAATCTTCCATTAATCTAGGGCTTCAACTTGTGAAATAGGTTTCTCCAGAGAACCCCCACTAACTTTTAAAGGGATTCCTATATCTTTATTGTGTGGATAAATATATATATCAGAGGATAAGTCGCGGGATTAGTTCTCTCTGTCCACAACGTGGGCTGGTCCAGGGATCAGACTCTGGTGCTCCGGCTTAGCAACAAGTGCTCTTAGAAGCTGAGCTATCCTGGCTGGCAGGAAGGACTTTAGAACGTCCAAAACACCCAGGACAGAGTCTTCGCGCTGTATATGCTTTCCTCCCCTGGCCAGGCGCTATTGCTTGCCTCCCGCAGGAAACCCACCTGAAAACATGTCGCTGTCTGGTTTTTCCACTTTCTCGCAGCTATTTTACTGGGTGTTGGGGCTTCACCTTCTACAGAAAGCAGCCAACTTCCAGTAAAGGAATGAGAGGACTCGGGGCACTTTGGTTTTGCTCAGAAGGGAAGACTGATTCGTCTTATATTTCTAGTTAGCCCTTGAAAGTGAAATTCGATCATGTTTAATAACTGATGATGGACAACTTTGAAAATAAAAGGGGGAACTAAATGGGAACAGAGAACAAAATAATAACTAAAGTAGGGCCTTTGGGGAGACAGGATCTCAGTAGCGGTATTAAACTGGGGTTTCGAAAAGACAGGCTTCTCTTCCTTCTCCTGCTTCCTTGCATTGCCCCCTTCCTCCTCATTCTTTTGTTGTTACTCATTTTCTTCTTTAAACTTGGTTTCTTTTGTAAAACAACACACAAAGTATTAGATGTCGTTGCTGCATTTTCAAACAACGTGTGCCTTAGTAAATGGTCCTCCCTTACCTTCACTATGAACATGGAGGGAGCCCCCCTCCAGGCAGGTGTGTGAGTTCATCTAGAACACCCAGCTCCCTCTTCCTGCATCCAAGAGCACTTGTGCTTTTCCTCTGAGGCCAAGTCTTTAAGCAGCTGGGCACACATTAAAGGAGAACGGTCTATTTCCCTCGATTGCAGCAAGATGGGTAAAAGGGGAAAGGGCCCCTCCTGTGTACATCAGAGGGGGGAAGCCCCTCATCTGGCTGGGCTGGAGCCCTAGCTTCTCTCCATTGCCAGGACAGATGAATGATCCCACAGCTCCTGTGTCTAGCTTTCTAAACCCCCAGAACAGCTCCAGTTTCTGGGGGCTAATGTTCTAAAGAGAACGAGTGTTTATCAGAGGCTCTTGGGGTTCACTTAACCCATTTTGTCTCTCTAGTCACTTGTGCTCCTCACCTCTGGCTGCTGCTGCTTGTTCCGTCATGAAATAGGTCTCAGTGGTATTCCTGCAAAGGACTTCTGGGCTCAGCCTCGACCAGTCTTACCTGGAACAGAGATACCTACCACACCTTAGTTGCTTTGTGGGTGCTCTTTCCTTCACTCGCAGACACGGTCCTGTGTATTTATGGTCATTCTCCTCTAATACAGATGGGAAAATAAAGACTTTGAAGGTACAGGGAGCTTACTCAGTCCACCCATGTGGCAGAACTGGGATCTTCCAGTTCTCTCAAAACCTGGCTCAATGTGACGCTGGAACACAATCTTCACCGGCTTTCAGATCTTTCCCCTCTCTGCCCAGAGTGACCCTAGAAAGGGAAATTCTGGGAAGCGCCTGTTGGGTTCCAGTACTGTTCCTGCAACCTGTGTGACCTTGAGCAACGTGTTCCTCTTCTCTGAGCCTTCGTCTCCACGGGCACAGAGTAGGAACGGAGCTCCGGGGAAGATGAAGTGAGTGCACTGGTGCGCAGGCTAGAGGAAGGCCAGCCACCATCACCACCTGCTGGCGCTCCCCCCTCTGCCGCTGTGGGTGTGACAACTGGGGTGGTAGCTGTGGTACCAAGCAGGGTGGTAAAGATGGGCTTACGATTAATGAAAAAGATCCAAACATCATCACAACGTAACCTCTTTCAAAGTAGAGAATGTGGGCTGCGTGGCTTTGCCCACCCACTTAGCTCCCTGCCACAAACCATACACAAAGCTGTTTTTCCTGGTCTCCGCTTTCCTGGGAACCTCTTTGATTTGCAGGGGGTGCAAGCTTCCTCCACTGAGTGTCCACTAGGTGGCGAGTTGAGCAGCAGCAGAGCTAGCAAGTGACTGGTCCTTGGTCCTCCATCCCCGCCCCCAAACAGGCCCTGGCAGTGTGGGACAGTAGTGTCTGGAGGGCTCTTTGTCACCAGGGATTCTGCTTCTCCTAAGGGGTCTGTGTCATCCTCAATAAGTGTCTTCTCACGAATATTAAGTATGAGCTTCATTAAAATATAAGTCACAATTTTAAATTGCAAGCCCTAGTTTGGACTCAAATCTAGAGTCTGGGATTGCAACTCAGCTGGTGGAGTGCTTGGTAAGGAGGGGGAAAGGAACCCTGGGTCCTATCCCCAGTACCATACTAACCCAGCTTGTACTTCCAGACTTCAAAGTGAAGGCAGGAGGGGAGGCAGAAACAGAGATACGGAGATGCAGTGTCTTAGGCATGCAGCTGATGTAGTAGGAGAGGGAATAAAAGAAAGGAGGGAGGGAGGGAGGGAGGGGGAGAGAGAGGGAGAGAAAGGAGGGAGGGGGAGAGGGAGAAGAGGGCAAGGGGAAAGGGAAGGAGAGAAAAAAGGATGGGAGAGAAAGGGAAGGAAGGAGGAGAGAGGGGCAGAGGGAAGAAGGAAGGGGGAGGGAAGGAATGGCAATAGAAAAGTAGAGGTGGGGAGAGGATAAGGAGGGAGGAAAGAAGGGATGGACAGAGGGAAGAGGGAAGAAAGAGGAGGGAGGAATGGAGGGAAGGAGATGGGGAGAGGAGGATGGAGGGAGAGGGAAGAGGGAAAGAAGGGGGATGGGAGGAAGTATGAGGGAGGGGTTGTGGGAGAGGAAAAGAAGGGAGGAGGAGAAAGAGGAAAAAATATTCCCAGCATTTGGGGCTACTGGGGGAAGTAAAAACTTTGAAAGGTAGGGCCTAGTGATGTTTTAGGTCGTTGGGGGGGGGGGGCTGGGGACTAAGTCTCTTTCTCTCCCTTGAACTCAGCTGTGGTGGGTAGATTGCTGCTATTACTACAGCCTACCTGGTGAGGGTCAGTATCATCAAACAAAGTATCATAAAACAAGGAATGATACCCAAGAATAACCTCTGGCACACACACACACACACACACACACACACACACATACACACAGAGAGAGGAAATCATTGGTTGTGTGCTGAGTGCAACAAGGTAGTGGCAGGGCCACGTGCATTTCCTGAGTCACCTCTGATGACTGGGATGATGGTGGATGGAGAGTGGGAGGAGCAAAAGCAAAGGAACGATCTCATTACTGAGCAAGGGGCAATGCAGTCTTGGTGTGCACTGCAGAAGAGAGATGGGTGGTCAGTTATATGTGAACACAGAAGTCTGGGCCTTGCTGATGGAACCTAGACAGAGGTCAAGGAAGGAGGTGGAAGAGGCTGAATCAGGAACTCAGGATAACGGTGGGATACAGTGAACCTCTGAAGGGAGACCTCATGCCTGTTGGGGACAATGTCTGGATACAGGGGTGATGTGGATATGCAGATGCACACAGCACTGTCTTTGGAGTACCATGAGCCTTGGGAGTGGAGAGTGGAGGGGAGAGGGGCAGGAAAAAAGAGAGGAAAGGGAGAGGAGAGGAAGCCAAGCCATGGCTTAAAATGAACAACCCCTTACCCCCAGCCAGCTGGAAGACAGGCAGGAGAGGGAACTTCTGCAAAGGGACCTAAAATGCGGCTGGAAGTGGGGATGTGAGGGAAGAAATGCATGGAAGGAGAAAAGAGCAAGAGGAAAGGGGAGGAAAGACAAGAGGAAAGGGGAGGAAAGACAAGAGAAAGGGGAGGAAAGACAAGAGGAAAGGGGAGGAAAGACAAGAGAAAGGGGAGGAAAGAAGGAGGAAGGGAAGAATGAAAGAAAAGAATGGAAGAAGGGAGATGAGGAGAGGGGGGAGGGGCAGAAGGAGAGGGGAGAGTGTAGGGGAGACCCAGCTTTGTGGGAATTGTCTCAGAGAGATTTACCCACAGGAGAGGGGGGAAGGGAAGGGAAGAAGAACGGAAGAAAACAGGAGAGAGGCAAGGAAGGATGGGTAAAAGAAAGGGAGCATACAGGGGTTCTCTTGTCTTCCACCTCCCACCTCACTGTGGGAGCCCTGGGTTTACAGAGCTGTGCTGGGTCTGGCTCTGTGTGGGTCCTAGGGCTTCACCCTCAGGTCCTCACCCTTTTCCCACTGATTCATCTTGTCAGCACCAAAGAGGATTGTTTTTTTTTATAAAGATACTTTTTCTTTTCATATTACAGTATTGAGACACATGCTCCTGTTTTAAAA